AGGCTACACAGAACAACTACTTTTATACTTCTCCGATGAATATTGCCAGATATAAAGGCGGAAAACGCGGAGCTCAAAAAGCTCTAACACTCTCTAGCTGGGTCTCGTTACACATGAGAGACTCCACGAAACGCCCATGCAACCAGCCCGTTTATCGGGATTCGAACCCCGGAGTGAACTACCAGTGTTGGCCCACAAGAGGCCGAGCGGTAAAAGCCGCTGAACACCGGTAGTTCGTTCCGGGGTTCGAGTCCCGGCGAACGGGCTGGCTGCATGGGCGTTTTCGTGGTTTTCCCCATGTGTAACGTGGATACGAGCCAGTTTCCCTTAGATAGACCTCCACGGGGCATCCCTCCCTTTCCGTGTAGTGCCTAAGAGCGGAGCACGTAATAAATAAATAAATAAATAACTACCAGTGTTCAACGATTTTCTACCGCTCGGCCGTTTGTGGACCTTTATGAAATGGAAGGCGATAACTTTATTTAAAATGATTGTCAGAAATACCAAGATATTTCGAAAAGTTGGATACTTTTTAATATATTTGCAGATTGCCTAAAGAAAAAGAGCAAGAATAAAGAAGAATGCCTGAAGAAAAAGAGAAGAAAAATTAAATTTCTGCATAAAATTTAGTATTTGTATTTTTTTTTTTTTTTTTAATTTGAAACTTTTTTATTTAAGATATTTGATTCTTGCGATTTGAAAAATAAAATATTTGACTAATAACATTTGAATAATATTTTAAGAAACCAAATATAGGATAAAATAGTGTAAAGCAATGGGCACAATGATAAAACTGTTTAAAGAAGTGTATGCAAGTCATTATAAGTTCAAATGTCGTTTATACATCTCTCTTATTTATATATATCTTTTCTGAACGGAACATTGAAAGGCGTGTTACCTGTGCTTTATTGTATTTTCTCTTTTAATATATGCAGTTTTCAAACGCATCATAGTCTGGGTTACAAAGTATTCTTCCAAAAGAAACGCAATTCAAATAAATAAAACCAAATTCTGAAAAATTTATATTAATAAATATATTTAAAATGCTCAGTTCGAAGGAATAAATAGAAAATTTTAAAACAATTATCTGAAGAGACAATGCAACACAAACAATTAAAATAAAAGTATAAAAATTTAAAAATTACCTAAAATAATAACTATGACAAAATATATATATAAAGAAAACTATTTGAAAAAAAATATTATGCCTTTATTTACGCAGTTCGAATAGGTAAATAGAAATTTTTAAACAGTTATTCGAAAAAAATCATGCAACTTAAACAATTAAAACGAAATTCGAAAAAAAGAAAAATTACTTAAAATAATAACACTTATAATAAAAAATATAATATAAAGAATATTATTTGGAAAAAAGGAAGGATGGTGACTTTTTTTTCCTCTTACGGGAAAGGAAACTAGGTTGCCATATATTAAGAAGTTCGCCAAGTGAACTATTCTTGGCGCAAACTAAAAAAAAGGTGCCAACATAAATTTGTGAATTTCTCCGTAAATTTTGCTCCAAATTTTACAAAATTTCATATTTAGGCGTAATTTGAGCTGTAGAATCAAAATATGTAAAAATATTGATATGTTATTTCAGAAAAAGTCCGATTTTGTGTTAAAATACCTATGTTAGAATAGTGCTATATATAAATCTAATATATATCCCAAGTCGCGCTTTCGAGACATGAAGAAAGCAATTTGAATTTTGTCAATCGGCCCAGTAGAACGGAATATATAGCACTGTCCCGTTTTTTTTTTTTTTTTTAGCAGTGTACATGTATGCTAACAATAGTCGCACACTTTGATGCTTGTATACTGATATTTGAAAAATCAGGGAACTTCAGGATTTAAGACAATGACTACAGACATGCTGTTTAAAAAATATTAAATTTATGGAAAACGTAACTACTAACAAAATACAGATCAATGTTTTTTACACTCAAGTTTCCGTACCTAATTGAAACACGTAAATTATATCAGACTTGTACAAGATAATTGTATAAAACTATTAAAATTCAGACTTGGGTATTTCATAAATGTCACAAATACTTCTCTTCGGTTCTAAAAAAATGCATGGTATACGCGTTTAATGCTGTCGATCAAATTTAAGATTAATATCTGATAGCTTTTTAATAAAGTCTGTGAAAATACACTTTACTAAAACAAAAGCGTGCTGCTTATGCAGATTGGACTATTAAGCACTTAGGAAAATTAGTTCTTCATGAAGTATACGTGACATGGAAACAGGTTTCTTTTCGATGATGCGATGAATGATTTTAGAAGTACATTTGCAGTTTGAGATTATAATTTTTATGAAAAAAATTATAACCAATTTGTTACTTACTAGTTTTTTGTTATAATCTTGAGGTACATAAATATTTAAAAATTAAACTACACGAAACGGAACCAGTGATAATCGAACATCTTTAATAAAATTACGATGCCTATTGTAGGCAAAGCGGTGGCTTTGGAAGAAATTAAATTTTTTTTTTTTTTTTTTCCTTTTCTTTGCTTTTGTGCTTAAATTGTTTTTTCCGCTTGCTGTTCCTCTCAAAACGTTTTAAAAGCGTAATTCATAAGTTTCATATACAGCGTGGAGAAGATTTTAATAATTTTTGAAAAAGAACTGATTTGTGCTTTTAAAAGCTGAATAATGTTTAATTGAAGAGCTATTTCCAAGAACTCCCCCGGAAAGTCTTATCAGTTAATTAATATTAACAATTTTGACATAATTTACGTGATTCAACTAAGCATGGAAAATTGTTCCTGAATGTGAAAAAATTGATCTGAATTTTGCTAGAAGACTTTTTTCTCTTTTATTTAATTTTTTAATCAACATGTCTGTTATCAATGTGTGCATTGATTTAACGCCAGGAGTTCTCTGAGTCGTCATTATACAAGTTCCAATAAAAGTAAAACATAATTATGTAAACAAAATATTCTAACAACGATTGTATTGCCATGTAAATAAAATCTTTATCTACAAATCTTAGAAAAATATTTATATCAGTGTCTGAAGATTTTTGTATCCAAACCATTAAACCATTAAACTCCTAACATTTCTGAAAATCATTGCCATAATAATTATTGCCAAAATAATGCTAACTAACCGAATTGAAAATATATTCACTGGCCGCGTTTTTTTCGTACTATGAAATGCTTATTTAGTACACAGTTTGACTCTAATAGATTATGGATTCTGCTGTATTATATCATCAACTTGGAAATCAAGTTCATTTTTTGAGGTGAAACAAGCGCAAAACGCATAGGAGCCTAATTTGCAAACAATGTTCTAATTCTGTCAAATTTACCTGAAGTGTTGAATCATTGTTAAACAGGCTCTAAATGAAATATCTGAATTGCGTACCTGAGAGTTTTCCAGGTAACAGCAAACAAAAAAAAAAGAATTTAAACGCGAAAAGAAAACAGAAGAAATATGAGAATAGGAATTTATTCTAAAGCCACCACTCTGCCTAAACAGGCAACGCAGTTTTACTTTAAATATGTCACGCGCTGCGGAGCACTGGATGTTGTCCTCTCTAGCCGGGGCTATTTCAGTTGTCTGTAATAGCCGGATATAATTCCTGCTGAAACAGGCTGGGTGTCCTCTCTAGCCGGGGCTATTTCAGTTGTCTGTATAGCCGGATATAATTCCTGCTGAAACAGGCATATCAAAGTACTGTCACCCGCCAATGGGGCATACTAATCTCTGAGAAGAACACGTTGCGCTCTGCGCGATATCCTTGCAATGCTTATATGACTGATTGTGTATGGAAAATTCATACAGTTACTCGCAATTTTTAAAATACATAGAGCGCTAGATTGTTCGAAAAAACACGTAAGTAGTGAATTAGTTATATGTTCTTTTATAATAAGTATCTTCTCAATTTCTAAACATAATTTTAAAAATCCATATCATCATGGAGTTGAAACCTGCTTCCAAGTCAGATGCATTTCATGAAGAAATCTGAAATTATTTAAAATCTGAAAAAACTAAATTACCGAAATATTCGAGAATCCAATTTGCATAAGCTGCATTCATTTGATTAAAATTTAGTAAAGGATCATCACATATCTATATAAAAATTTATCAAAGATAAATTCTAATATTGATCAATATGTCTCAATTTTAATGTTTTTAGATGAATCGCTATAAGTCTGGCATAATTTACGTGACTCAACTAGGTACGCAAAACTGATTCTGACTGTAAAATAAATTAATCTGCATTAATTACTATTCGTTTTCTCTTAAAGTTTGAGACTTGATTCATCATTAAAGCTGCAATAAAGGAATAATTATGGAAATAAAATATACTAGCAATGACTGCTGTGCAAAGATATATAAATAATCAGATCTGCAACTTCAAAACTTTGAATAAGATTTATATCGGAATTTATAAATTTTCAGAGGTATATTATTATAAAACAGAATTCATTATATTGTTATAAAAAATTATACAGCTACATGTTCGTTATTAACAGTCAGTGAAATAATGTAAAATTGGACTAAATGCTTGCCATAATAATTAATGTCATAAAAATGCTGATTAACTGAAGTGAAAATGTATTCGCTGGCCGAGTAAGGTTACTGCGACGGCCTCTAAGCGATCCAGTAGAACGGTGCCCTAACACCAGGGTACCTGCGTACCTGCGTTACCTACGTGACAAGAGTTACGCCTTTAATTTCCAAAAAGAACGCTTAACTTTTTTTTGCCAATAAGAGGGTAGAACCCCTTGTATAAGACTTTACTCGCAGGCAAGCGAAGTAACCATTCTACTAAGACGAAGATTTTTCAGAAAGTAATGGCTCGCAGAATGTAGAGTTATGCAACTATCTGCATACGTAGAATATAATGGAGTTCACATAATAATTAAGCTTAACTTTGTGATTCAATATTAAAGTAAATGTTGATCAAAGTTATGGTTCAGGCATTGGAGTACAAAAGTTTTGAAATATATTATCTCCGTTATAGGGTTCCAACCTAGAATTTACAGCTATGAGTGTGGAACTTTTGAGAAATGGTAAGCGAATAAACGCTTTAGCTCAGGAAACAGAAACGTAAACTCGGGAAGGGTTAATTACCCTTTATTGCTCAAACTAAGGATTAATAGGTGGCCCTTTACAGTAAAGCCTTCAACTTGGGTTTGAACTCAAATTTACTAAGAAAATCAAACTTAACTAATGCGTAACTAATACGATAAAGCCGAAGCTATAAAATTCTACAGGATTTGTCCTCTGAATTTTAACTACGCGACTAAGCTAGCAAGGGCCTGAAATACGGAAAAGCGTGGTAATAGCTTAGAGAGAGAGTAGCCAAAAGGCAAATGCGCGCTAGTCAGAATCTCCAGCTCACTAACAAAGTCAGTGAAACTTGGATTTAACTACTGCTTTTCCTTTATTTGGTTTAACCGGAATTCTAAAAATACACTCTGGGAGGAAATTTGTAAGCTGAATATTAATTGAAAATTTTGTTTTTCCTTGCAAGAAATAAAATCAATGTAACCTTCCGTTGAAATTTGAGAATATCTGATCTGATTAAAGTATTTGAAATTCTCAGGGAGTTCTCAAGACGTTGGTTCTATGCTCTGGTTCTGATTTTACTCTTAGTATGCTGTACTATTGAAAATATTTTTTTCTCAAATATACTAACTTCCAAATAATGATGACGATAAATAACACATGAATATAAGGCATATTTCTTTCTCGTTAGGCATGGTATTTTCCTTCATTGCGATCGATAGGATTTTGTTCATATGTGATAACTTTCTAAGAATATCTGTGAGAAACATTTACTAACTTTTAAACAAATGAATGCAGGTAATACAGTTGGACTGTCAAATACTTCGGAAATTCAGTTTTTCCAATTAAAAAAAAAATCAAAACTCTTGAAATTTAAAAACATGGAAATACATTTTGATTCGATGATGCCATGGATCTTAGCTCGAATGCGCATTAACCCAGAAGGTGCTTAGTGTCATAGTGTCAAAGCAAAATTTCGCATTGAATCATTTTAAATGTAAGAATCACTTTTCAAACTGTTCCCTCCAAATATTATTGCCCTGTATTATATTTAAAGAAAATAAATAATGAAGAATCTACATGAATGCATATATGTTTTTGCATTGTAAAAGCACAAAGGTACATAAAGTCATTAAAATTAAAAAATCCATAATCCTCTACTCGACATGAGCAGCTGAAAGACCGAATTTGGAATTTGTTTTATTGCCTATTTCATATTTTGTAAAACTTTAACGTCTTTTTTGATTTAAAAACTCAGCAATTTCCAAGCCAGAAGTCGCAACAACAAAACATTTTTATACCTAGCAAGTGAGACTGTTTATCGGAAATTCTAAAGATACGCTTTTTTGGAATATTTGAGGTCAATGTGGCATTATTCCAAACGGTCTTGAAGCGTATATGCGTGTGTAAATTAACAAATCGCTCGTTTGGGCGTACTTTTCGATCCGATATATTTCAATTTTCTCATTTATTTTTTTTAATTATATTTTCAAATTACATGTTATAAAAAATATTGTCAACTTGTTAGTTACCAGTTTTTTCGTATGTTTCTGCGCTGTATGAGTTTTAAAAGTTCCTGAAGAATTGGATATCGTTCACGGGTAATCGTCTATTACTTTAAAACAAACCGCTATGCCTGTTTCAGATATAGAGCGGTGGCTTTCAAACAAATTGTGTTCACATTATCTCTAATTCATGATTTTTAACATAGACCCACCAGCGGCGGCGTGGTAAAGTCGCTGAACATCGGTAGTTCGGTTCGAGGTTCGAATTCCGCGAACTGTCTGGCTGCATGGGCGTTTTTGGCGTTTTCCCCATGTGTGACGCGTATACGAGCCAGGATCCCCTTAGAAAGTCCTCCACGAAGGCATCCCTCCTCTTAGGCAGATAGCCCTAGTGTGCTTTGGCCATAATTAAATACACCATTATTTTTAACGTCTTGCATTTACTTTTCACCGCGAAAGCTTTCAGAAATGTATTCGAAAAATTTGATTTAGAACGTGTGTGAAGATAATTCAGCATCTGATGTATAATTCAGGAATTTAAAGGAAATTTCGAAGCCCTTATTTAGGGAGGCATTCTCAAGACTAATGCGTAATACCGATTGTTCAAGTGAAACAAAATTACCAGTATGAAGATTTTTCAGAAAAAAAAATCGTTCATGCTATAAAAAGCTGAATTAGGTTTCATTCAGGATCGCTTTCCTAAAGCCCCACAGGAAGGTTTTTTAATCAAAGTATTTATACTACAGTAAAGGCGTTTTTGCTAAACCTTCAAATGTTAAGCGCGTTGTAAATCCAGCGTGTTATGTCAGCAAATGTCGCGTCCATCCGTGTTGATGACCAGCCTTGAAACCCAATAACAAACGTAAAATACATCATGTCGGTGGTTCTTCAGTCTCAATGATGCTTGCTTGGGTTATGTGCATTCAGCAACCTCCTTTTATTAATTTGCTGCTAATTCTATGGTTCGTTGCGAGTCTGTTACGATGAGCAGGGACTTTTATACTTTTGACTAACAGTTCAATAACAAAACTGTTCGATACTTTTTTTAAACTGTTTATGGTTTTATTTTTGTACTAGCAGCTTCGGTGCCAGCCTTCGTCTGGCTTTTAAATGTACCGGAAAAATGGCTGAAGGGAAAACCAAACGTTAAATCTAAAAGCTGCGTAGAATTTTACTCTGCAGAACAACTTCATAAAAAATGTTTTTACGTATAACAAAATTGCAATGAAATAGGCAATATCCCTTAATACAAATATTAATTATTCTAACAAATAAATTAACCAACTTCCCTTTGCAAAATCTTAAGAACTGAAATGGTATAAAGGAGATTAAGAACTTTGTTTCCTAAAAAAAATCACTCAAAACTTTTCAATAGCTTAAAAACAGTGAAATAAGCAATAAGTAACATAAAAGAATACAAAAAACAAAAAATTCTGGAAATCAAAGTATAATTAATGATATTTTATCTTATATTTTGAAGAGAAAAAAAATTACAATGAAATAAGCTATATCCCTTAATACAAATATTAATTATCCTAATAAAAAATTAACCAACTTTCCGTTGAAGAAAACAAATCATGCAAAACTTTTCAATATCTTACAAACAGTGAAATAAGCAAAAATTAACATGAAAGAAACTTAAAAAAAATTAAAATCTGAAATGTTTCAGATTTTAAATTACGTCCAAAGGGGCGTTTTTTTAACGTTTTGAGTGTTACCTTTATTTATTAAATATCATGTTCTTTGCACTTAAACCATAAAATTCAGTTCAAGAGCAATATCGCAAAATAATGTTAAATTAAGCATATCTTTAGAATTTCCGATATACACAGTCTCGCGAGCTGGAGATAAAAGTATTTTTTTTTATATATATAACGTTGCCATTTCTCGCTTTTAAAGCATTGAGTTTGTAAATCAAAAATTCGTTAAAGTTTTACAAAATATAAAATCTATAATAAAACAAATTCCAAATTTGGGATTTCAGATGCCCATATTCGCAGTAGGATTTCGTCATTCAAAATTCGATGGCTCTATGTACCATTGTTTTATCACAATGCGAGAAATAGACAATCATTTATGCAGATTTTTCATTATTTAATTTCTTCAAATATAATGCAGGACTCTAACATTTTGTGGCAACAGTTTGAAAAGTGAACCGACGTTTATGAGTCCGACGCAAAATCGCAAAACGAAAACAATAGTCCTTCAGGGACAAAGCCCCTTTAGACTAAAAAAAAAAAAAAAAAAAAAAAAAAAAAAAATCTGAAATGTTTCAGATTTTAAATTACGTCCAAAGGGGCGTTTTTTAACATTTTGTGTGTTACCTTTCTTTATTAAATATCATGTTCCTCGCACTTAAACCATAAGATCCAGTGCAACAGCAATATCGCAAAATAATTTTAAAACGAGCATATCTTTAGAATTTCCGATACAGAGACTCACGCGCTGGAGATAAAAATGTTTTTTCTGCACAACTTTGCCATTGCTCGCTTTGAAATCCTTGAGTTTGTTAATCAAAAATTCGTCAAAGTTTTAAAAAATAGGAAATCGATCATAAAACAAATTTCAAATTTGGTCTTCCACATGCTCATATTCGTTGGAGGATTACGTTATTCAAAATTCGATGACTCTATGTACCGTTGTTTTATCACAATATGAGAAATATACATACATTTATGCAGATTTTTCATTATTTAATTTCTTCAAATATAATGCAGGACTCTAACATTTTGTGGCAACAGTTTGAAAAGTGAACCGACATTTATGAGTCCGACGCAAAATGCCAAAACGAAACTAATAGTCCTTCGGGATTCAAATCCCTTTGGACTAAAAAAAAGAATTCCACGCAGAATTTTACTCTGCAGGGCAACTTTATCAAAAAAATATCAATAAAAATGTATATATATATAAAAAAAATGACAACGAAATATGCCAATCTCTTAAAAATAATGGCATATATGACAAAAATATGATTAAAAACAGTGACATAAGAAATACGATGAAAAATTGTTGCCAAACCCATATTTCTAAAAGAATGAAACTATTCAAAATGATGCGATTTCATCAAAAATCTATCAACAACAATGAGAAAGGACAATTGTTGCCAAAACCACATTTTTAAAGATGTGAGAAGTGTACTCGGAAGCTTCATGTAAAAATTCTTTAAAAAATACAAAATATTATCATTTTTCCAAAATTCTTTTTGTAAAAGCAGTCGCAAGGATGAAAGTTTAATGTGTCCAAAAATCAAAGAAAAATAAACGGTACATTTTTAAAAATAAACTTTTTTAGAAAAAATCCCGTTGAAAAGCTGTTAAGTTCACTTTGTTAAATAAATTCGTATTTAATCGATTTATTGAAACACGAAATTTATTTTAAGTTCGTAAAATAGCTAAGTGCTTACGTTTCATGACGATGTGAAAATGGAGTGTGTAGAGTAAAATCTCGCTTTCCAATAGCCCATTACGTCTCAAAATGACGCGATCTCGTCACAAAACATAAAATTAAAAAAATTAAAATAAAATTTTAAAAAAATGGAATTCGAATTTCGAAAAAATCGCTTCGAGGTGCACTGGCTCTTGTCTAGATGCACCTATGTACCAAATTTCGTAGCCGTGGTCTATTAGCTTACGCGCAGCGCTAACGAAAGTCACACCACACACACACACACCATGGTTTTGCTATGGTGGAAAACGAGACATATACTGCCACACCCTATGAACATATACTGCCACACCCAAGTATATGAGACATATACTGCCACACCCAAGAACCCTATGAAGGAATTGGATTTTTGGAAATCTTTTTGCATAAAAATTCTTCATTTAGCTTCAGAATGATGATACAACTCGTAAAATTTGAAAATTTCTTTTATTTAAAAAGTCCACAATTTGCAAGGAAGGTGAGGACGCTATATGCACACATGCTCTTTTAGTTGCATAAATAAACACAGCTGTGTGATTGTCCTGTTTTGATTGTATTGGCAACCGACGTCGATTCCCCTAGCGCATGCGCATGATAAGCAAGTTCTCTGCTGCGTAATACTTATACTTAGTAGGCAGTTAGCCAAAGTCAATGGTGAGTAATGCATGTAAGCGAGAAGGGCTAAGCGCTGTGTAATATCATGTTTCTACTCTGCTGTTCAACGTCTTCGTAGTTTAAATAAATGTTTGTTATGTACATAGAAGACGTCATTTTATTCTTCATAGGTTATGGGCCCAGATAGCGCTTAACTGTGCAGTGCAACTACCATTGTTAAATTCTTTCGGCAAGCCAAGCTGCGTCGACTGAAATGAAAATGGCGACGACTAATACAGTTGTCAATTGAAAAGCTAAACAAGGACAACTTTGACACGTGGAAGTTGCAAATGGAAGCAATACTGATTAAAAATGATCATTGGGACTATGTAACTGGGAAAATTCCGAAACCAGAACCTGGTGATGAAGAATTTGCTAAATGGAAAACTACTGACCAAAAAGCACGAGCGGATATAATCCTATCCATCTTACCCAGTGAACTTCCACAACTAAAGAAGTATTGTGTAACATCTCACGAACTGTGGAGTAAATTGCATTCTATTTACGAATCGAAGGGACCAGCTAGAAAGGCCACAATTACTAAAAAAATTGCTTTTTACAAAAATGAGTGATTCTAAAACAAATGACTGTTCATCTAAATGATTTTTTCATTGCTTGTGGACAAACTGAAAGAAATGGAAATAAACATTGCGGATGATTTGCTTACAATATTGCTTTTATATAGCATACCGGACTCTTATGAAAGCTTTCGAATAGCAATCGAATCTCGTGATGAACTGCCTTCTCCAGAAATGCTGAAAATTAAAACTGTTGGAAGAAGCTAACGCTCGCAAAAATAAAGATTCAACGTTTTCTGAACCACAACATGCGTGCTATTCAAAAGATCGGAAGTATACTCAACGACCGGTTCCTAAACCGAAACCGATAAATCTGCAAACCGAAGACAGTATCCAGTTAACTACAGATGCAACTTCTGCCATATCTATGGGCATAGAGCATCGGAATGTAGGAAGAAAAATAAAGAAACTAAAAGCAAATACCTTAGTGAAACTGCGATGTCTGCAGAATATCAGAATTCCTTGGAGCGAGAAAAAGCCGTAGCATGCACTAATACTAATTCTAAAGCCATTTTTTGTCTGGATAGTGGTGCAACATCGCATATGTGTAACAGCAAGGAACTGTTTCAAGAAATTCACGAGGTAGGTGATACTTATGTTAAATTAGCTGCTGATAAAACTGTTAAAGCTATTGGAAAAGGAACTGTTAAATTTAAAGTTCGCATAGGTTCTAAAACTGAAAATATCAAACTCAAAAATGTATTGTGTGTACCTGATTTGAAAAATAATTTAATCTCAGTGTCTAAAGTAACTGAAAATAATCTTTCAGTAATTTTCAAAGAAAAATGTGCTCAAATAATTAATTCTAATAACGAAATAGTAATTTTAGCTAAACTTGAAAATGATCTTTATTTTGTCATACCAATATTTGAATCTGTATCAATTGCTAAAGAAATAGATCAGTGGCATATAAGATTTGGCCATTTAAATGAAAATGATCTTAAAAAACTTCAAATAAATAACATGGTTAGAGGTCTTCTTTTTCTCAAAATGACTCTCTTTCTACTTGTAAGGTATGCATTCAGGGTAAAACAAACCGCAACCCCTCTTCCCAAAGAATCTGAATATAGAAGTACTGAATTGTTGAATCTAATTCATTCTGATTTGTGTGGTCCCATGAGAACTGAATCAATCGGTGGATCATTTTATTTCGCAACATTAATTGATGATAAATCTCGATATGTTCGTGTTTATTTTCTGAAGTCTAAGGATGAGGTTAAAGAAGCTTTCAAAAATTTTAAAGCATCTTTTGAAAATAAACTTAAACTTAACTAAAATCAGAATCCTGCGAACCGATAACGGGCTAGAATATTTAGGGAAAGACTTTAATAAATTTCTTAATGATGCGGGAATAAAACACGAAATGAGCACTCCTTACACGCCAGCCCAGAATGGCGTCGCCGAAAGATTAAATCGCACTTTAGTTTCAATGGCGCGATGTTTGTTATTGCAATCCAATTTGCCTCAGAAATTCTGGGCCGAAGCCGTCAATACGGCTGCTTACATTCGAAATCGCTGCCCAACGCGAGGTTTAAAACACGAAATAAAAACACCTTACGAAGTGATGTTTGGCAGAGTACCTGACGTCTCTCACTTCAGAACCTTTGGTCAAAAAGCATTTTCGCTAAATAAAAGGCCAGGAATAGGCAAATTTGATATTCGATCTAAAGAATGTATTTTTATTGGCTATTCTGATGAATCAAAAGCGTATAGACTTTGGGATCCCGAGGCATGTAAAGTGATAATAAGCAGAGACGTAAAATTTATTAATGAGTTTGAAAAACTGCTGTAGTTATGACTCAGAGCAAGAAATAAATCTGCCTTTCGCTCTGGAGGAAAAAATTATAAATAAAACATGTTGTGATGAATCATCACCTCTGGACGGTAGCGAGTCGCCACTTCACTCTGAAGCTGAAAAGGAAAGCGGAAGTGATTTAGATAACGAATCAATGCTTCCTATCCTGATTAAAAAGGGGGCCTGGTCGACCCCAAGAAAATAAAAACAGGTTTGCCAGGAAGGCCTAAAAAGGAATATCACTATACAGTTGTTGTGAATAAAAATGAAAAAAGAAGAAACTCAAAATGCTGTTGAGGAGGAAAGCATTAATCCTACGGTGCAAGAAGCATTAAATGGACCATATGGCTGAAAATTGGCATAATGCCATGCTGTTAGAATATAGCTCGCTTGTTCAAGAAAAGGCTTGAGTATTAGTAAAAAGACCTGAAAACAAGAAAGTTATTGGTAGTAAATGGGTTCTTAAATTAAAATATAATCACGATGGCACTATCGAAAAATACAAAGCTAGGCTAGTTGCTAAAGGGTGCGCTCAAATCCCTGGTCTCGATTTCACTGAAAACCTTTGCCCTTTTGCTAGATTAAGTTCCATAAGAATAGTTTTAGCCTACGCTGCAGAACACAGTCTCAAAGGTTACCAATTAGATTTTGTAATGGCCTATGTAAATGGAAATTTAGATGAAGAAATCTACATGGAAATTCCCGAAGGTTTTCGCGATGAAACTAATTCAGATAAAGTGTGTCTTTTAAAGAGATCATTATACGGTCTTAAACAGTCAGGACGTCAGTGGTACAAAAGGTTGGATTGAAAAATTGAAATCTATGAAATTTAAATCTCTTAATTCAGATAATTGTGTTTATATTAAAAAGACGCCTAACAGTACGCAAATTATTGAAACTATTATAATCGTTTATGTAGACGATCTTATCGTTTTTACCGATTCTCAGCAAACGTATGAAACAATTCGCGATAGTTTAGCTTAGCTTCTGCTTTCAAAATGAAAGACTTGGGAAAATTACATTATTGCTTAGGAATAGAATTTTACCAAAATGAGAATTCAATTAAAATTTCTCAAAAGAAATACGTTGATGATATTTTAAATCGGTATATAACATGCAAAATGCTAAATCTGTGTCTTCACCTATAGATAACAGCAAAAAATTATCAAAAGAAATGAGTCCTAAAAGCGAAAACGAAATCGCTGACATGAAAAATGTTCCATTTAGAAATCTGATCGGATCATTAATGTACCTTTCAGTAGCTACTAGGCCAGATATCACATACGCCATGAATTTCTTAAGTCAATTTAACAACAATCCGGGAAAAGAACATTGGCATGCTGCGAAAAGAATACTTCGATATCTAAAGGGAATTCAAGATCAAGGACTAATTTATACGAAAACAGGAAAACCACTCATCGCCTTTGTGGATGCAGATTGGGCATCAAATGTCGATGATAGGAAATCTTACACCGGTTTTGTATATATATTAAGTGGTTCAGCTATAACCTGGGAATCACGAAAACAACGCAGTGTAGCTCTATCTTCAACGGAGGCGGAATATATGGCTCTGTCTGAGGCCGCCAAAGAAACTGTCTACCTACGTCGTTTCCTGAAGGAGCTGGGTTACAACATAGAACACCCAACAACAATATACTGCGACAATCAAGGAGCTCAGAAAATTACAAAGAACTCTGTGTTTCACTCCCGTACAAAGCACATAGACATTCGCCATCATTTTGTGCGTGAAGTGTATGAACGCGGTGAATTAGATGTGAAGTACATACCTACCAGTGAAATGGGAGCTGATGTGTTACCAAACCCCTGACTCCTGTTAAACATCAAAACTGTTGTACAATTGTAGGATTGAATACTGTTTAATATGTATTTTGTTTTATTTTTCAGGAATAGGAGAATCGAACCTCGAAAGGGGGTATGTTGGCAACCGACGTCGATTCCCCTAGCGCATGCGCATGCATGATAAGCAAGTTCTCTTTGCGCTGCGTAATACTTATACTTAGTAGGCAGTTAGCCAAAGTCAATGGTGAGTAATGCATGTAAGCGAGAAGGGCTAAGCGCTGTGTAATATCATGTTTCTACTCTGCTGTTCAACGTCTTCGTAGTTTAAATAAATGTTTGTTATGTACATAGAAGACGTCATTTTATTCTTCAGAAAACCTCTTAGGACAAGCTGTCTGCAGTAAACTGATATAATGCATTTGGAGAAAGTGCACCTGCTATTGCATACCCTAATGGGGAGGGAAGAAAAGATTACAATCTCCGCCGTTTTCAGGCGGTTCTAGTTGTTTCAATGTAGAGCCGTGTCGGGCGGATTGGATGTGATAGAGTTAACTTTCTACATGAAATTTTACGTACACATGCTTTTCCACCAATCTGAATTTAATTGTATTAATTATTGTGTTTTTACATTCTTTTGCTTAATATGCTTTTCTCCTATCCTGAACTCAGGTGTACTAATTAGGATGTTTAACAACTAAACATGAATTGCATATTCTTAATATATTTAATCAGCTAATTTTAGGTATAATTAACTAACATCGGAATAATACCACTCTGTGCGCTAAATATCATATTTAAAACGCTCAGTTTGACTTAGATATGTTTTATTTCAAAACTTAACCGTATGTCTGTAAAGTCATTGCTGTTGGCGAGCTTGCCAATAAAAAGGCACTGTCGCTAACGTGCAATATGTGGAGGCGCCATCGTTTTTCTCTGCGGAAGTAAACTCATCTATGATTCTATGCAAGCTAGACTAAGTCTTTAAATGATCTTTTTTTATTTAAAAGTATTCGAGAAAAATGTAGAAAATTAAAAAGTTGCAGAAATATTTCTTGTCAATTTTGTTTTGAGAAATTAAGCTTTAATTGTATGTTTGACTAACTTTTATTTGTATCCATTTTATAAATGTGTGCCTACTCTTAAAGAGTTCTTAAATTTGTTTCCTGTTAAGCCTATGTTTCGGATATGCTTTCGATTTAAAACTTTATTATTAAGTAAGAACGAATATTGCCTTTTAATTCTTCTTATTATCAATACATGGGATTTATTGTATCATAATCTTCTTTATAACTTTTTTAGATTTAATGTCGTGGAACAAATTTCATTTTAGTATAAGAGATATCAAAACTTTATTTTAATATAATTTTGCACATTATATAATAATTCACTGCTCTGAGCATGACGAAGGGCCGTCATTTAGAGTTTTTATGAAAGCATTTCATCAACTGGTTTTATTTTCAGAGAACCTAAAATTTGGGTAAAAATTGAGCCTGTCACCTTGTTCCCATTTTGCATTTGTGAGGGGGGGAGAAAGGAACTTCTCCATTTTTCTCCACGCATTTCCAAGCTGAAATTGTGTAAACGTGTAGCATTGCATTCTTTTTTTAGTTACCTCTCAGATATTTTATTAAAAAATCTGATGTACACACCACATGACTTCCTTGCACGGAAAATTTAATTATACGCAATTTTCTTGCATTTCATTTAGGTTCATTGGATTGAATTAAATCAACATCGCCGATAGCGCATAAACCACAATAGAATAAATGCACTCTTTAAAATTCACTATAGCAATTGTTTACCATAGCGACACTCTATGGCAGGTTGACTTAACAGCGTTACATCTCTTCCATATTATAACTCAGAATGCATATAAATTTATATCATTTCAATAATTATCTAATCGTTGCCACATGTTCTTTGAAAATATTATAATAAATATAAAACGATGTATAAAATAAATTAAGCAAACAAAACAAAAAAGCAGTTTTTCATTGTCGATTCAGTAGTTTTCATTCAATTAATTCAGTTGTTACTGCCCGACAAGGTAAAAATACATAAAAACTCAAAATATCTATATTAAAAATTACGAAGTAAATCTGACACACTTATTTTCTCGAATAAATTCTAGAATAGATTAAGCATATTTTGATTTGCAATAATAAAAGAAGGCGTTATCTGTGTTGTTGCGAAGCTTAGTTTCTCTAGATTGGCAACAAACCCACTATTTTGCCAAGTTTGAAATGTAAGCAAACCAAGGAGGTTAGAATAGAAGGAGGGAAGGTTCAACTCAAACGGTGAAGCTTGGCGGCCATCTTCCTGTTATCACCGTGACTTGTGCAAGGAAGTCTGTCATTGCAACATTTTTTTCTTTTCTTTTTGAAGCATGTCAGCTTGTACTGCATATGGGATGCACAAATAGATTCTCGAAAAAAATTCTGGGCATTATTTTTCACACGTAAGTATTAATTTTCTTTTTTTTTTTTTTATGTAATATGACAACTATGTCAAAAAATATCACAATGTCATGTGGTTTTCTTTCCAGATGTGAAAAAAAAGGGACTTAAAAATCAAAGGTTAGGTTACGTAATATAACTATAATGAAAAATATATTAAATACATTTCAATGTTTCTGTTTATAGCTGGTATCTTCGTTCCTTAAGATACAATGCTATATGGTAGGATTTAAATTGTATAATTGAACGTTTTAGTTAATTCGTTTTATAACTTTCATGAAAAGTAAGAAATCAATTGTTACTATTTTATTAATTGTAAAAGTGTTAAATAAAGCAATGCTTTTCTTTATATATTAATTATTATTCATTTTTTAAGTTAAGATAAACTGTTCTGTTGTTAAAAATTTTTTGCATAATCTTACAAATTTCTGAACAGTATAGTGATAAAATTAAGTAAAATATTTACACAATTGGAACATGTGGAAAGATGTATCCAAAAACTTATATAGGTGTATTTCTGTAATTCAACTTAACTTAATAAAGGCAGTTCTTTGAGATTAATAAATATGAAATGCGCATAAACTGAAATCAATGAATTCTGTTTTATTTTATTAAGATTTATTTTCTAACCTAAGCGAATCCGTGAAATATGCAGAAACATCATTTTTTAAAGGCTTTAATGTTATGCGCATGCATTTAGATTTCGAACTATTTCTTAACAATTTGCTGTACATAGTAAATTATGGATATCATCTTTATTACTTTAAAAACAAAAATTCAACAATAGCGGGGGATTTCATTATAAATTTAACATAATTTTACTGGAAAATAAATGCACGGAACAGCTTAGAAACACGTACATGTCACTGCCGTAATGCAATGTTTTGAAGTCACAAACATGGACGCCGCTTATTCGGCGGAGTTTCATTTCCCGATAGTGGAGGAAACTGCGAACCCTCCCTCCTTCTATTCTAACCTCCTTGAAGCAAACATGTCCGCCATCCACAATCATTAGGCTTAGCTGCAATTAAACGATTTTAAACTCCACAAATATTGCATGCAGATTTATAAAAACCTTAAGTGGAAGATAAGAACAACATAATTCAATCATTTTTAAGGCAAAAAATGCACAATTTACAAACATATAAGAATAAAGAACCCGAGCTCACTGAGCCGAGTAACAAGAGTGGATATATATTTATATATTTATGGTGCGGCCGATTGCAACCAAAATACGAGGTGCACATCTACATGTTGTAGCAGTCTTACACATAAAATTTTAACGTTCTGATGCTACTCGTTTTTGAGTTATGCAAGATAAGTACGTACGCACAGACGCCACGAAAAATTCTCTTCAGAATTCATTTTAAATCAGTTTTATAATTTTTTTTGGGGGGAGGGAAAGTTTTTTATTCTGTCCTTGCTTGCGGATGTCACGCAAAAACATCCTTAAATTGCGTTGGATAGCGGTCAAAATCGATATTTTCGTTGAAATATGATGCCCGAAATTTTTTCGCGATTACATTACTTCCTTTTTGCTTCGTACAAGGAAGTAAAAATACTTTTCCATTATTTAACTTTTGAACGTGTTGTATTGATGAGTTATACTGTCGCATTTTTTACAGTCATATGGAGAATTTTACAACGCAGTTTGAATACTACTAATTTAAAAAAAAAAATATATTTAAAAATTTTTTTTATCTTTATTAGTTTTTTTCTCTTCTAAAAAATAACAAAAAATCTTAAATCAGTCCCTTATAAAATAATATTTACATAGAGCAGCCATATAGAGATTTCAGTAATTGTTTTGTATGATATTTCGATGAGAAAATTTTTATTTATTTTTTTATAAATCTCGTATGTATTCATGCTTATGCTATTTCCAGAAGTTTTCACTTGGAATTTTTATTTTCAGAAATCTTAGATATTGAAGATTGGCCTTTCAATTACTTTGATTGCCTAGCAAATGTTCTACTTCACTTAGCAGCCAGGATTTCAGATGTGGAGTTAACAAGATTGCTTCTCTCAAAAGGAGCTAGAGTCACCAGCGTCGACTTAAAAGATCAATCAGCTCTGCATATTGCTTGTAGCAGAAAATCTTTAGGTAATGCTAAAAATATTTTTTAAGTAGTTGCATCTTTTTCTCTGTATATAATAAATTAACTTATATGTTAAATTAGCAGCTAATGTACCGAAAATTTAATTAAGTAAAAATTAACTCTTAATGGAATTTATGAATTATTTTAGAATATCACCTAATCCAAATATCTTATTATAACGCTTATAGAGATCAACATGAAACTACAGTTCACATGTTCTTACTGTTAGTTGCACTTACTACATTAGCTTGTGTATCGATCAGAAAATGTCTCCATCAGAAATTTTTTTCTTAATGGATCTTAATTTGTTTCATCTGGCTTTTCTCTCGATTTTTCTGTGACTACCATTCCTCGGTCATCTTTAAATAATTTAGAGCTGCCTGACGTTTAGCTCATCCAGCATTTCAAATTAAGTGTTATCCACAAGAACACTATATACTTGTAGAAGAGGGGCGAATTTCTTATTGTTTATCACGGCTCTGCTTTGGCGTACAGTGAGGAGAGTATAAGCTTAAAAAAAAGGGCGAATTTTCGCCAAGGTTATACTATACGATTATCAGTGAATTCTCTAACTCTTCAACGATATTGTTACCGGTAAAATATGAAATGTATGTCTGTGTGGAATACCCAGGCATTTCTTAGAACGCCGAAATCTGGCTAGCAATGTATGAAACGATTCAATATTTCACACACTGCATATGACAAATTATGAAATATATACCCGAGTCGTTGCGAATAACCAACACTATTTACCAGAAGTTATGAAATTATGTAAAAAAGCTAAAATTAATACTAAACAAGATCAGCGGGCGATAAAACATGTTAAGATGTTACATAAAAGGAAACTATTTTTCAAAGAGCCATTTTTGAAGACTTATCAGATTAGCAGATACAGGAGTCACCAGCAGAAACACTGAATATTTATTAAAGCAAACGAAATTATATAAAGTCTTACAGAGAAGAAAATGGATATAAATTAATCTGAAATATTCGAGAAAATTTTCGGATTAAAACATGCCCCAAAATATTTAAAAATAACTGATATTTTTTTTAGTTCTTGATTTATAATTGTACTTATATCATTTACAAAACACTATAATAAATTACACCTGTTACTTTAAACTACAAATATTTCTTTGATTGTGATTTAAGTAGTGCTTTAATATTTTTGAAAAATGAAAAAGAAAAAAAATGAATAGCGATAATGTAAATATTGTTTTAGAATACGGGTGACTATTACAAGTGTAAATTATAAATATTTGAGAAATATATGTTTTTAATTTAACATTAACTATTTGTTAAAATTTACAGCGTTGATTTCGTTCTCTAATTTATTTTACAGTTATACTAAATGTTCGGTTACATTTAAAAATAATAATGCATTCTTCTACTCTTGTTTTATTCTTTGAATTTCAGCAATGAAGTTGGTTTTACAAACTAATTTACAGGTCTAATTTTTCACTGCCGATTTCTGTTAACTCCTGAATTTGTTTCGCTACTAGTCCAAAAACGTTCTTAATTTCCATGTACAGAAATGTGTACAAACCTTGTTCTTTTCGAAATTTAAGAAAGCTAGAAATTTTCCACCAGCCTCATCTTAAATCTGTAATGATATCAAAAATCTGGAAACGGCATTATCTTTCAGTGAATTACACAAATTTGCGCTGATTGTGCAACAACCTATTTTGTCATGTTCACTGTAAAAAAACTGCTTAGACTTAAGACTGCTTACAAAAGTACTACTGTTCTGCTTTGTATTACGTAATTAGTCTTATTTGATAATTTAATGCAGTTTAACTGTCGTAAAAATCTAAATATTTTTATGCATTTCGGGGAAGAGGGGCTGAGAGCAAAACTAAATCTCTGCAAAATAATGCCGGTAAACGAAAAATAGTTGGGAAACTATTCATTTAGTTGAACCAATATACATACTGCAATTCTCTTTATTTAAGTATTTGCTTATGTGTTATAAACTAATTCATAATAAAGAAATTTTATTTACTTCAAAAATTAAACTAAGTTCAATACCACTTTATTTATTTTTAAAATGCGTAGAGGAACCCCCATAAGTAAAATTTTTCGATAAACCGAAACGAATATCAAAATATAGAATTCTAGCTTATTGATAGCTTTTCTTCATAAATGAAATTTTAAATTATTCGATATCACTTCTTGTTGCTTATTGAAATTTTACTATAATTGGCATGCAGTATGTTAGCAAGTATTGTGATGTAGTTGCTTGAACCAGTGAAATCAGTATTTTACAATATATATAAATCTGTGTGTAAGATTAAAATATGAATACTAGCTACTAACTTTAATTTTGCAAGAGTCCCTTTATTCTTCATTTCCATCTGGATGCTTCCTCTTTCTGTCCTTCAAATATTTACTATTTAAAATATATCAGTCTAAGCTGCATCATTTCCAAATTAATCCCTTTCATGCTGTCGTACGTAATACTGCAGTGCAGGTGTTATTTAACGAATCAGATTAAAGACTTCAAGTAAGACCAAAACCTTTCGAATTTATCTGTTACACTTCTTCTGGAATGCCTAGTCATTCTTGTGCTTGCTTCAGTCTTGCTAGCACGCTTGCGACTCTCTTCTCTGTACCATTCATCTCCTGAAGATGTGTTAAGCTATCACAATTATGGGATGTGTATAGAGCCGATAATGATGTGAATCAGATTATGCATCTGAAAAATTAGTTTTATCTAGAATTAAAATCATGTTGAATCTATGGCTGCATATGTCTGCAAATGTCATCTTTCTATCTATGCAGTAAAGACTCCAAGTTATTACAACGGAATAAATCTCTTAGATCCATTGCCAGTTATTCCCAAGTTATTACATATATCATAGCGCCAACTCTCCCGATTTTTTATCTCATCCTTTCACGATCACCAGACCGCGTGGTTTTTAATTTTTATCTTTTACTAAGGAACCTTACCCCCCCCCCCCAAAATAAGTGAGATTTAAACTTAAATTAGACAAATTCCCTCTAATGATTTTCAGAGTAGTTTTTCTTATTAAATTTTATTTCACTTAAATTGTATTTTTTATTTCATTTTATTGAGATTTGACTTCTAATATTTTATTTCATCTTTGTGTTTTTATTACGTTTTATTGAGCTTATTAATTTTTATTTCATCCAAACTGTAATTTTCTTATTACACTATTGATTTTATTAAATTGATTTTATTTCATGCGAGTTGTCTTAATTTACTGTAGACATCAGTTAGTTTTTTAAGGAAGATTCGAGCAATGTTTATTCAGTTAAATTTTGTATTTAACTTATGTGTGCTTAACTACATAATAAGAATTATGTGTACTTGACTACATAATAATATAATGCATTACTAAGTTTATCCACATAAATACTATATACCTTAATTTTGATCACATTTAAAAGTACATTTAAAAATACACATTTAAAAGCTTTCTTTTACTAGACGTGATTTTCGTTGTATAACCGTGTGCGAAAATTAAAAAAAGGAATTAGACGAAGAACTTAAAATTTGTAATACCGAGTTAATAATCGCCAAATAATTTTACGTCAGAACTGAATTACGAATAGTTTAATAATCTGAATTAAGATCAGTTCGGAATTCCTTTGAAATCGTATCACAGAGGCAAAATCTTCTGGTTATTTCATTTTTAAGATTTTAAGTTTGTCATTGTGATATCATACACATAAATTTACAGCATAAAATATGCATAAATAACCGAAATTTGGAATCAAATGTAAAAAAATAGTAATTTGAGTATTGTGCGGCATTTGCTGCTACAAGAAATATATATGATAAATTTTCACTCTTCACGAGTGGCAGGGCTAGAGAGTAAGAAAAAAAAGCTATTAACAATAAAATATGCGTTTTAGGCTGGGTACCATGAACTTTGCTCTCCTGCCTCTGACGCGCCAGTTCTAAAAAGATCTGTCTCCAAGTTTACTTTCTTCTTCAGAATACAGAAATTAACTTTTTGTGAATTCACTTTCTGCAGTAGGTAGGGCAAGTGCTGCCATTCACTTCAGGAATACGAACAGCTATATAATTTTGCTACAGTTATTTTACGTACGATATTTTATCTGTTCGGTATTTCACTCCTCTGATGTCTCCCTTCCCACTGTACGTAGATCATAACCTATAAACATTTGTATGAGACTTTTCTGTAATGGAATTAATTCCAACGTTTCTGTTTGAAAATTTCCTTACACATTATATAATGCTGTTCTATTTTTCATTTTAAATGCGTTATATAAGTAGAGTTTCTTCGTATGTTTAAGTCACAGTTTCTGTTTCAGAATTTCCGTAATACAGAATTTTAAGTTCATAAAATGTTGAGATAATATTTCTAAGAGCTTTGCATTCCTGCTGCGTTGTATTGCTTGTAAAGTGCTTCTGATTTCTGTTTGTACTTAATATTGAAAATTATTTTTAAATTTCGACTTTATAGAATCCAGAAATTTAATGTCCTTTTTTTTCCAGAAATTATAAAGTTATTAACAGAGATATCCCCGGCATATATGCTTGAGGAGACTGATGATGAAGACAGAAGACCATTAGAAATAGCTTGCAGTCATAACTGCCCAGAAGCTGTTCAGTTCCTTTTGACGCGAGGCTGCAGTGTACATGTACAAGATTTCCCAGAGGATTTCCGAGAGGGGTCTCTACTGTGTGCTATAAGGAACATTCCGGATTATGCTGTACCTATTGCATCTATGGTTCTAGATGCTGGCGCCGATGTAAGTAATGAAATTCACTCAGTGTTTTTAAATGATCATTATTTAATATCAATTTTAGCACAAAAATGTATTTTTCGGGAGCTATTCAAATTTTTTTTCATATTAAATTCTTTCCATTCTTATTTATTCTTTCGCATATTTTTGTTTAGCATTCTCTTTTATTTTGTTGTTATAAAACAAATTCGATTCAGAGCAACTATGCATCCTTTTTTCTACTAATGAATTAAAAGTGAATTTTTAAATAAATGCTTAATTCTGTTTCATTGATAAACATTTCACCAATTTAAGGACTTTCATTTTAGGGTAATTGAAAGAATTAATGAAAGCAGTTCCAGGAGTTAAAAGTAAAAGTGTTAGGTATTTAGGGCCTTACTTTAGTATAAGTCCCACGAAGAGTGGCTTCGGAAACAAACGTTTCTACGTCATATCTACAGTAGTTTAATTTTTCTTCGCTCAAATCTGCTAACATATTTTGAATTCATAGATTTCCTTATCGTTTGTCGATAAAGTCACTAACATTCTCCAGGTAACATATATATTAATCCTACTAAAAGGAATTAAAAAATAATAATAAAGTCTATTTTTAGAATTATCAAAAATAAAACTGAAAACGCCACGCTACTTTTCTGAGTGTTTATGCTTTTTTAAAATCGTTAATCAGAAATTCTGTTCACAGAACAAAATTGAAGGGTTTTTTTTTTCTTTTTTTTTTGTCCAAACCCAAATATATTTGCTTAAGAAGGAAATTTCTTATTATTCACTCGATATGTTCCAAAAAGAGAAAAATACAAAGTGGAGGGCAAACATATATGTTGAAAACAAGCCTCGTAATCTAAATGAAATAAAATGTTGATGAAAAATATTAAAACCAGGGCGAACAAGGTAAAGAAAAAAAAAAGTGAATTAATCCTTTCATTAAATGGCACAGTTAATATCATAAGCGCAAATATCAGACAAAGGAATAAAAGCACCGAACGCAAAAACAGTTACTAGAATATGATCTGGTTGCACAGATTTCACATTAATATCCGGAAGTCTGAAGCTAATTTAAAAATAACTCCCAGAAATTAATCGTATAAAACGGAAAATATGATATTTAAAATTAGATGATTAGAGAGCAAATCTAAATTATGTAATCATATATTAATGCACATAGACACTTGTGCAATTATTAATAAACAAAACTGAGAAAAACTGTACCAAATTCTGCTCAAGTATTATACTTCAGGCAAGAGAGCAAAACTGAAGGCCAGCAGTCCAGATAAGATTTGTGCGTTGGAGGGGAAAAAATTCAGTTGGTATCATCAGAGTGCCAAATTAGGCTTTTGGAACACAGAAGTTAACTACTTATACAATAAATCTTGCCACTATAAAAAATAAACATGCACAATAAATATATACATCCAAGCATATACATTGCAAAATTTTGCAAGATAATTTCTGTGTAACACTGTGCCGCAAAATGCAGAATTCATATTACAACTGTCGAATTCCTGAACGAGTCAGTTTATTAATTACTATGAATACATGAGTTACCATGTATTCAGAATTATTTTACATCATTTATTTCCTTAATCGATGCAAAAATGTTTTGAAAATGAATTTTTGATAAAAACAAACATTTAATAAATAAATGCATCTAAAAAATTATATTCTTTCAATTTTTATAAAATTCTATAGCTTGAAAAATACTACTTCGAATGTCACTGAATAGTTCAACAGAGTCTTGAACAATTTGTAGGTTATTAGGAAACTTGCGGATTTTTCCACTGAATCTCTTGCACACCATCCTTCCGGAAAATCTGATGTGGCTATACATTGTATTCTGCGCGTATGCCAAATCTTCGGAACGAAAATAGTGAGATGCTTACAAAAAAAAAATAAGTCTTTCAGCTTCGACAGCGGCGATGAACATCTAAAGCTTATTCTTCTTGAGTGCGTCCTTGATGTTGAGCAAAGGAAGATATTTCAGACAACTTCGATGCACTTGTTTGTATCTTGGCCACCAACTTTTTCGGACTAGACACTGTTTCTGCTTTTGGAATTTTATTCTCAATTTATAATATTGTATTCTCTTTCATTTATTATTTTTATTTTTTTACGTAATTTAAATATATTTGTTATTTTTATTTCTTGATTTTTTATAATGTTTTCTCCATTAGTAGTACATTTGTTTATTTATTTTCTACTTTGCTAGTGCTGTAACTTACTTGTGTATACTTTGCGCAACACGAGGAGTCAAAATTGAAGTTAAAAATAAGTGTGTTTACACCCGGAAAAGACAACAAAAATCACTGGTTTGTCAGAAGTTAATTTCTTTTGCCTAAACCAGGCAAAAGAAATAACGTAAAAGATAGCGAAAATTTGCCTTTAAATTTCGGAAAGCCTGAAAGTAAACTTAAGTATGAGTAAAAAATACTAAAGTACTGAAGCTCGAAAAAAATCTCATCCCAGTACATTGCTTGAAATTGCTCAGATACAAATAATGCTGAAACGCAAAATAAAGTAAAATATTAACAAAATATTTCTGTAATTTATCTCATTACATACGTACTGAATATGTGAATTTAAAATCAGGAAAAAAAATGGCTATAATTTTATAGAGATATAGGATTTACTTTCAAAACGAATACTTAAAAAATTCTAAATTTTGCTAATTTTACATTCGAACCATAGATTTTCCAGTTTCTAGCTCAACATGAAGCGAAAAAAGAGTATAAGCGAAAAAAGAATATAAGCGAAAAAAGAACATACAGCGGTATGCAATTATTATTTATATATTAATATTGCATTTTGGAAAAACTTCCTACATTCAAGAAACACTGAGAAAGCCACCTATTTTACGAGAAGCAAGCATATTTTGAATTCATTACCTAGAGACGGATCAGATCGTCAAAAATTTCACATATCAAATTCAACGAGAATAAAAGAAAAGTTGCTTTTGAAATAAATAAGATTACCGTAAAAAATGTTGTAGGTCAAAAATGTTACAAGTATTAGGTGTTTTGTTAGAAAAATTCTGTGTTTTAATAAATAAATGCATTATTTTCTTGACGAAAAGGAATTTCTTATAATGCTTTGTATCCATATTGTTAATTACTGGACATGCATTTTTTTTTTTTATTTAATTCAGTTGGGGAAATATTCAACCACATTTTTCTGTATATCTTGCATAGAGATTGCTCATATTTAGGGTTTTCATAGATGCTAACTCTACTGGTTTTCAATCACGTTACAAAAATCTCCAGTTTTTGAGATTTCATTGTTGACAGCTGTGGATTTTCTTCAGATGAAAAATAGACATTTTTATGACTTTATTGTTTATCAATTATTTTTGTATGCTTTTGTAATTTTTTATTATTAAAATATTTTCCCTTTTACAAAGTTCTAAACTTTTTCTTTTTCTTTTTTCAGATTCACCTCACCGATGATATCGGAACAACATTATTGATGTTTGTTGTATTCAGATCTGCTTTCGACGAAATAAATTCAGGTAGTGAAAAATATTCATATGCAGATTTATTTACGCTCTTCATAGAACGGGGATGTGACGTTAATGCCACTAGGTTGGGTAGTACTGTTCTTCACTTGGCAGTTATCGAAAAACAAGAAATTTTAGTGCGAAAAAATGCTTGCTCATTTCTGGAGCTGAAATCGACAGGCGTGATGAGTATGGTTTTACCCCATTGTTCTATGCATGTAGAAGAGGTAGCCAGAGATTTGTGGATTTACTTATAATTGCTGGTGCTAAATTATGCACACAGAATTGGAGAAGAAATAATTTGATAATCTCTGGAAATGAAGAAAGCATTAAGATGCTTATATATATAAATGATAAATCCAAGCAGTGTCATACGCTGGAAAACTTGTGTTACATTAGTATCAGGAAAAGACTTCAGAATGTAGAAAGAGATGCCTTTCAACTGGGTTTACCTCCATTATTAATAAGACGCTTACAACTCAAAGACTGTTCTAATTATGTAGGATGATTATTCTATTATTATGTATGATGTACTGAGTTGTAAAGTTTAATAAAGGGTAAAATATTGCTAAGTATGCATTTTCCTTTTTTGAGGGGGCTGAAATAACACTTCTTTTATTATTTTACATTCTTACAATATTTGCTGTCATAATTTATAAAAGTTGCGCTATATCTATAGTATAAACAAGCAAGAAGAAAGGTGTGCATATATCATATGTTAACAAACAAAACAATGCACAAATGGAAAAGTTTGTAACCCAATAAAAGCACTTTTGTTATAAATAACACCAAGCAAGAAATAACATTTGCATGGAAGGAAAGCTTTTTTAGAATTATATTTAAATTATCTGCGACAATAAAAGCATGATCAAGTTTTCTTGCCAATTAACAGAACCAGTCCAGTCCTCCCTGTATACAGATTTGGGAGATATTTTAAAATTTTATTGCCTTTTAGTCCACTTTCACATTACTTTGATTACCATTAAAAATTAACATGAGTCCGGCCTCTGAAAATTTACATCTTATTCAAAAATTACAAATCTTTGGATAAGATTACAATCACAGATACAAATCTTGTTCAAAGAGTTGAAGAAGTTATATATTTAATTATTTATATGACTTATCGTTATTATCGTTGCTAGAATATTTTATTTTGATAATTATATTTTACTTTTATTGGAGCTGGAATAATGATTGCAGTTTGTGTTTTCCAGCAGTTAATTAATTAAACTAAAAAAGTATTGCTTCTTATCATCTTTCGTTTTTTAATATAACCGTTACATGAAATTAATTCAGTTTCAGAATCCTTACTTCTTCAGAAATATTTGCAAGAAATTTCTGAAACAAAGTATACAAATGATTTCAAATGCTAAAAACTGAAAAATTCGAATAACTAGATAAATAATTATAAAATAATACAGCAAACAATTTTTAATGCCTAATCTTTTATACCTAATTCATTTTTAAAGCATCAACAGTCCAAGTCTTCTCAATTTTACTCACAAGATAAATATGTATTACTATTATTTTGGCGTGTGTTTTGGGGTTTGGCTGTATTATGAAACGCTAATACCACACAACGTAAATTGTTGGTACATCACATGATATTCTTCCGAGATGTGAAGAACACAAGTCCGGCCCACTCAGTCTCTTTCGTGCAAGGTCCAAAGAAGCCACTATTGAGATTGATGGAAGAAATTTTTTTTTTGTTAAAGTATATTTTGCCAAACAGATCTCTTCTAAATATCTGATATCACGTAATAGAAAATAAGGTAGAAAAGAAATCTCATAGTTTTCTGAATAGAAGCTCAACGTTAAGATAGGATAATCATTCTTTTTATAAATAACAGAGGTCGCTTTCAACACAAGTGCCTCAACAAATCACTTTGCTGTTAGTTTTCTATCGCTGATATCTGTCACCGTTTTTCCTTTATACAGAACAACATGTCTCAGGTATTATAATTATGATACTAAAAAGATTTTTTAGAAAGTTTAAGCATTCATCCAATAACCATGTAAATCACAGCTCAAAATAGCTCTTTAAGCTAAATCATTTAATAACAGGTAGCACATTGAAATTCGGACTGTCTCGTTTAACTAACCAAAACCCTCAAGTAACTCGAAACTCTCCTTCCCTCCGAAAAAGCCAACAGTAGAAACATTTCTAAGAAAACGACTCATGTTCCATATACAGAAATTTTGCCTGGGACCTAATAATAATTTAGAGTTGCTCTCTGAGTGTCATGTTTGTTTATACTCTTTTAAATTTTGTTCCACATAAATGTTTCCTCAGAATTGTTACAACATTAAGCATTTCCCCCCCTAACTCTTATTCAGGTCAACAGCAGAAACTCAGTATAATCACGTATGTGTCAAAGTACTAATTACATCTCACTTGATATGAGCTGGTAAAGCGCGTGGAATGAAACGATATTTAAGATAGTAGGTGCTTGGAAATTTATATCGTTGGTCCTTTGGTATTTAATTAGGAAAATTCTCAAAGATCCATTGTGGAAGTATTTCAGATTACTGAGAATTACCTGCTATGTGCAGTATCCTTATATCTGCATCAAGGTATAAAACAGGCCCTTTAATTTCTCTTTCAAAGTTTCCATGTAAACGTGGATTGCAGATAAAATTCAACTAGTTTCAAAAGAATAAAACTTGCAAATTTATTTTGAGATTAGCGGAAGTACAAGTTGGATTGAGAGCAATGCATCTAACAGCACAGATCTGTAATACCGCTATAATCCTTCTCTAAAAACGATAAAAAAAAGTACAATTCACATTCATACATTTTTCAGTCTGATGCGATATGGAACCCACATAAAAATTTTCGATAGAAAAATAAGCTAATTCTGTTTCATTATATCAGCAACAATGGCACGCAGTTTTGAATGATTTTTGTTTTTCTTATCAAATAGTCCTAAAAGCTTAATTTCCATTCAATATTTCACCTATAATTAATTTTAGTTGATTAAATGTGGCAAAATCTTGACCTTTATTCATCAGAAATTAACATGAACAAACAAACATACATTCTTCTTTATTATACCTCTGGAAGCGTTTCTAGTATCAATGCTAAACAATCCCCTAAAGGCCCCGAGGACAGAACGACGAGAAAGCAGAATGTAGCAGCAACGGACTCAGTTTGCCGAACAAAAATGTACACGACCAGTTATCTTATACAAATACACAACAACACAAAACATCCCTCCGGTTATGCCCTCGGAGGTTGTTGACTATGTCAATAAACTCAAAGAAGAAGAAGAGCCTGGTTTGGATGGCATCACAAACTCCATGCTGAAGAACCTACCATTGAAGATCATTTTCATCCTGGCAAAGATCTTCACTAGGATAATGGAACTACAATACTTTCCACAGGCATGGAAAACAGCCAAGATTGTACCCATCCTCAAACCAGGAAAGTCAGCATCTGATCCAACTGCCTACCGACCGATCAGTCTGCTCTCCTCCATGAGCAAGATCTATGAAGCTACGCTACTTAGCAGGATCAACAGTCATTTAGAGCGAAACAACATCCTAATCCCAAGCCAATTCGGTTTCCGGAAAGGCTTGGGAACTACCAACCAACTCTACAGGGGTGGTATAGAGCTAATTTCAGAGAAGGCCTGCACAAGAGGAGAGTAACTGGTGGTCTGTTTATTGACATAGCCAAGGCCTTTTTGATCGGGTCTGGCTGGAGGCACTAGTTTACAAAATACACAATCTGGGCTTCCCAGATTACATCACAAACATCACCAAATCCTACCTAACAGGTAGAAACTTTGTCGTTCACGTCTCAGGAACAAATTCTAATCTACACCCCATAAGGGCAGGGGGTCCCTCAGGGGTCCCTTTTAGGGCCCACCTACTTTAATATTTACGTGAACGACATCCCTACAACACAGGACACAACACTAGGCTATGTATGCCGATGACACAGCAATCCTCACACAAAGTGCATTTGCTGGTTCAGCTATCCAACATTTACAAATTTACATACATGCACTGGAGACTTGGCTCACACAGTGGAAAATAAAAGTCAATATTGACAAGACGCAAGCCATCTTGTTTACCAGAAAAAGAAATTCAAGAAGAAATCTTGTCATGTATGGCAACTCTATCCCCTGGGCCAAGCAAGTCCCTTATCTTGGGGTGATCCTCAGTAAAACTCTGTCATGGAACCCACACATCACAAATATTATCAATAAGTTTCGAGCCCGTAAAGCTCAACTCTTCCCCTTAATTGCTCGAAACAGTGTTTTGTCTATAGATAACAAGTTACTCATTTATAAATCCATATTGCGTCCATTACTATGCTATGCATGTCCTGTATGGGCGTACTCATGCAATAGGTATCGGGGCAAATTGCAAACAGCCCAAAATTGTATTCTTCGACAAAATAGCCAAACGCCACCTTGGTATGTGCGAAATAAAAAAGATACATGAAGAACTGGGCATTCGCCCTCTAAAATCTGTGTACTATAGAATAGCAAAAGATTCCACAGCAGGCAGCTAGAAATTCAAAACCCTGCCATTGCCATTAAGATACCTGAGTACGACCCATACAATCTGGACAACAAATACAGGCCTTTGGCCATATTAAATGAGTGGATAATGTAATGGCATAGCATAGTAATGTATTTCTGCTTAATATAATTTCATATATTTTTCGTAACACCTTCCTTATGTATATTATATATTCTTGTCGCATTCTTATTCTTTGTATGTATATATGTAGATATTTATTTACCAAGGGCTGGTATCACTTTGTGCACTGCTTTGTGTTTAAAACATCTTGACTTCCAGGTTTTTCACCACTCGATAGCTTTCTGGCCTTTCCAGTCCTTTACAGCAACTGAAAAAGTAACCTGTGTTAATACAGGAAATAGGATTTATAGCATTTAATTATATACAAAAAACCCTAAAATAAACCCAAAAAAATCAAAAAATTCAAAATATTACATAAATATATGTTCAAAATTAAAAAAAAAAATTAGACTAATCTGTAAAAAAGTTAATGAAAAATCAAGAAATCGAAAATGTCTAAATCATATTCTACAAGGGGTAGAGCCTTCGGCCCAGGTACCCTGGTGTACCAAGGCACCGTTCCACTGGGTTCTTTATATGTATAGATTTTGTAAAACATACACATTTTTATTAACAAACTCCATGATTTGAAAGCGAGCGGTAGCAACACTTTTCGAAATAAAGCATTTTATCTCCAAAGCTCGAGACTGTTGCCACTCGGAAA